CTGCCCCCGCTCAACCTTGCCTATTCAAATTCAGCGTTCTCGCGCTCTGGGTTACCATCTATGGCCTCGTGAAAATTTTGGCGGATAAACTATTAACTGGGGAATCACGGAAAGATATTTATCCTTCAAGGTTTCGAATTCAACTTTCACACGCTGGTGCGTGGAATTTTTAACTGTTTTTGAATGTTTGAACAATTTTTGCATAGGCTAAAGTACAAAGCAGTGAAATTCATTAACAGGCAATCGTTCGATGGGCTGAATTGCACAAAACGCATGATCGCACCGGCTAGTCTGGACCATTTATTTCATTCGCGAGTTATGAATTTTCCCGCCATAGTTTTCACGTGCCCGTACGTGAGCCCTATTTATTATGTACTTTCCTCTGTGTTCCAAGTGCTTATTATATACTTTCCCACACAGGTCTTTGAAAGTGAACCATTATTAGTGTACGGTATTCATCGGTTTTCGATAAGACGAGCAACATGTCCTGCCCATCGAATTTTACTTTCTCGGTTGGTCACAATGATACCCTGCACGCCGCTTATCTGGCAGAGAGTTTGATTGTTTTTATGATCATCAAAAGATCACTGCAACTATCCTCTCAGCGACATTTTGGAAAGAGATTTTGTGTACCGTAACATTCATGAACATTGATAAAATTATTAGTTGGTACTTACTGTGAACGGTTATCGTTTCAACACAGCGTACCTTTAAGCCATTAGTTTCTTAGTAACTTCGAATTCCTAGACCGATTGTTCGGGCGATTTCAGTAATCTCGGTTGGTTGATAAAGAAAGCTGTGTTGCTCGTGAGCCTCTTTGCAACAGTCTTCAGCAGTGAGTTACCCAAATAGCTTATAGGGAGAAAATTTTGAGATTGGAGCAGGCGGAAGGGGGAGGGGGGAAAGCGAGAACGAGGTGGGGAAGAAATAACCCAAATTTGAGGTTAAGAGAATTGACTGGAAATCGATTAATCTGAGAACTGGAAGTAAATGGTATTTTTATTAATTAATCTTGTGGCATTGGATTTCCAAGGATGAGGGATAATATCCAAATGTTCCAGGAAGTACACCGATTGCAAGTGCCCGAAGCGATGGTTGTCCCAGCGGAAGTGCACTTCTATTTCCATCAACTGGAACGCCGGTACAGTGTAGCGGTACCGGGCAAGGTTCTTGTCCAAGTGGTTATCGGTGCCAAAAGAATACGAAAACTGGAAGCTATCAGTGCTGTACTGTAACTACCGCATTCGAAGACGAATACGCAAATTTCAACCCTTTCGCAAGTAAAATTTTGCTTATATGAATAATTAAAAGTCTCATTTGCAGCACTGCCTGCATCATTAACAACCTAAGGTTCAATATTCATTTAATGCGCCGGGTTTTTCTTTTTTTTTT